GGCTCTGGGAGTCCGGGACTGGCAAGTGCGTGTAATGAACAGGTGGGAGGTCCCTAGCCGGCTGGGCGGGTCTCCCCTCACCTCTGCATCCCTCCTTTCTCTCCCAGCTGCAGAGAACAGGTTTGCCAAGTTCCTCATGACCTGTCTTAAATGCTGCTTCTGGTGTCTGGAGAAGTTTATCAAATTCCTCAACCGGAATGCCTATATCATGGTGAGCAGGCCCAGGAGGGAACCGACCCAGCAGCTCCTGCTGAGTGGGAGGAGCCCTCATTCCCACCCCCGGGCCCTGACCCCTCCCTCCCGCCTCCCTGCAGATTGCCATCTACGGCACCAACTTCTGCACCTCGGCCAGGAACGCCTTCTTCCTGCTCATGAGAAACATCATCAGGTTAGGGGAAACACCATCCTCTCATCTCCTCCCTCCTCCCACTGTCCCTGCGCCCGCGTTCACACCTGCTTCTCACCCTCCCCTGCAGAGTGGCGGTCCTAGACAAAGTTACCGACTTCCTCTTCCTCTTGGGCAAACTTCTGATCGTGGGGAGCGTGGGTGAGTGCCGCTCACCCAGCCTCTTGGGCTGTGGGAGCCTGTTGGGGGCGACTTGTGAACTGCTCTTGGGCCCCATGTCTTCTGTGATGACTGTCATCTTCTTGGGGGCGGGTACTTCCTTTAGCCAGAATCTTCAACCCCCTCAGTTTCCTCCCCTCTTCCAGGAATCCTGGCTTTCTTCTTCTTCACCCACCGTATCAGGATCGTGCAGGACACAGCACCGCCTCTGAATTATTACTGGGTTCCTATACTGGTATGGACCTTTGGGGATGGGCATGAGTCTGAGGAGAAGGAGGTGTTGGAACTCTTCTGGCCTCCTTTGGACAGATGCAGATGGGGGTCAGAGGTGGGGGGTTGATTATTTATTCAGTCTACAAACATTTATGAAGCACCTACTGTGTAACAGACACGGGGAGGGGGGTGTCCCTCTAGAGGCCTTACAGTTCAGAGGTAAATAGATATTGACCAATAACGATATAGGTGGACGTGCGATTGCAAACTGGTAGGTGCCACAGGGCAGAATGACAGGGAACTCTTCCAGCCTGTGGTGGAGGATGGGGGCAGGCCTGGGAATCCAGGTGGCTTCCCTGTGGAAGTGATGTCGGATCTAAGGTCTGAAGGAATGCAGGCCACATCCTGGCAGAAGGAATAACAAGTACGGAGGCCCAGAGGCAGGGCTTTGACAGGAGCAGTGAGGAAACCAGTATGGCTGGTGTGAAGGGGGGAGGAGGTGACAGGGCCCTTAGAGGGGTTAGGTCATCCCCTGAGAGCAGTGTGGTACCTATATGAGTGCAGGCCTCAGAGCCCAACGACCTAGATTTTTATCTGGTTCTTTGTCCACTAGTTCTACGATGAGTAACTTTCAGCGAGTTATTTAATCTCTCTAAGGTCCACTCACTTCAGTCCCTAAGTGTTTATCAGGTACCTGCCAAGGTCCTGTGAGTCTCCAAATTGCTGAGGGTATAGCAGTAAAGGGGGCAGACATAGTCTAGCCGGGATGTGGGCATTAAATCTGTAACACCCTAAACATGCATAAAATTGCAGCTGGACTAAGGCCTCAGAGGAGGGCTACGTGGTGCTAGGAGAGCAAAAAATGGTCTAGATGTCAGAGGCGGCTTCTTGGAGGAGATGGTCCCTGAGGACTTGATGGTTGATCTGAAAGCAGAAAGATAAGGAGGTGTAAACTAGACTAAGTGAGGGTAGCAGCATGTGCAAAGGCCCTGGTGTTGAAGAGAGCAAGGAGTGGATGGTAGGAGGTCAGATGTTATTCTCAGGAGGGCTCATCAGCAGGGGAATGACATGAGCCCAGCAAGGGAGGGCCGTGGTGGGTGGGGATTGCCCAGGGCAAACGCTGGGGTGAAAACAGTTCCTCTCACCTCGCCCAGACAGTGATCGTTGGCTCCTACCTGATTGCCCATGGCTTCTTCAGCGTCTATGGCATGTGTGTGGACACGTTGTTCCTCTGCTTCTGTGAGTGACCCCTCCCCCCGACCCTGGCGGGGCCCTGACTCCCTTCTCCCCTCTGGGCAGAACATCTCCCTCCAATGAGACTACATAGTCACCTGCCCGGTGCCCCCAGCTTCCCCAGGGACTGGCTGTCCTTCGTCCTAGCGCCCCGGCATGCCCTCTCGGCTTCCTCCTGCGCTCAGAGCTGCTCCATCCTTGCGTCCCCTGGTCCAGGCTGCAGCGGGGACGCACTCTGCCCCTGGGCCCTCGGCTTCGGAGTTTCTGGCTTTGTCGGGGGGATCCGTGGCTGCCACTAACTCTGGTCTCTCCATCTGTCTGTTTTTTTGTTCTCTCTCTTCTCTTCCTCTCCTCCATGCCTGCTGGCTTCCCTGTTCCTCCCTGCCTCCCTCTTTCCCTCCCTTCCTGACCACCCCATGTTCCCCCTGCTGGTTCCTGGGGGGAGCCCAGGTGAGGACCTGGAAAGAAATGACGGCTCTCAGCAGCGACCCTACTTCATGTCGCCCGAGCTGAGAGACATCCTGTTGAAGGGGAGTGCCGAGGAGGGGAAGCGGGTGGAAGTCGAGGAGTAGAGAGGGAGGGAGGTGGTTGGGGGGCCCACAGGCCTCCTCGGTAACTCCCTGTAGGTGGGGGGTGCATGCGGGGCTCTTCCTTGCCTGGGAGTGGGGAGCGAGTGTGTGTCCCGTTTCTGAGCCCACCACAGTCTGCCCCTCTCCGGTCCCAGCGTGTCTTGCTTCCTAACCCTCTGAGGCTTCTCTGTGGCCCCCATCCGCCCGCCCTGTCCCCAGAGGCCACTGTCCCGGGGCTCCCCTCATGCCACCTGCTCTGGGACCTCTCTCTGCAGTGGAGGACCTGGAAAGGAATGATGGCTCGGCCGAGAGGCCTTACTTCATGTCTTCCAACCTCAAGAAGCTCTTGAACAAGACCAACAAGTAGCCGGCGGAGTCCTAAAGGCCCCACCCTCCCACGCCTCCCTGGAAAATCTCACACTGGGTGCTCAGCAGCTGGGTCAGAACCCCCAGCCCACTGGGCTCACCCCAAATCCTATCACTGCCGCCCCCATGCCCCGATATCTGGTTACCACCAGTTTCCAGGGACCTAGAGGACCTGGGGCATCTCCTCCCCATGCCAAGGGGCAGTCATATTTTTCAAGACTGTGCAGGTCATTCCAGCCTTGGGTGACTGGCCTGCGTGGGAAGAAGTCCACTGAGGTCCCTTGATGTCTGGCAGGCGACGGGGCCGACCTCTGTGGGCTGCCCCACGCTTCCTGTCCCTGTCGCGACGGGACAGCATCTGTGTCGGCTGGAGCGGCGGCTGCAGTAAGCTCCAGCTCCTGAGGGCCCCGGTGACTTGCATCTACTCCGGCCAGGCCCCAGCCTCTTTTCATGGCTGAACAACTGGCTCGCGGCTGCCACGGGCATTTCTGTATTATTTTTTTTAACCTGGACGTGCATTAAAGGGTCTATGAGCCTTTTCTGTCTGTCTCCGCAGTCGAGGGGGCCGCTGAGGAGCGCCTTCATGGCTGGTGTGGGACCGTAGGTGCCCAGGTGGGGGTGTCTCCTGGCATGGGAGGGGAGAGAGAGACTGTTGGGGGAGGCAGACGGGAGCAGGCTGTGCGGACCGCCCAGCGCAGGGGGAGGAGACCGCTAATGGCTGCTTAATGGAAACCTGCTGGCTGGCTGGCTGGAGGAGTCGGCCGAATTTCGCCCTTCCTCTGCCAGTTATTGACACAGCTCTCTTTGTAAGAGACAAGAAACTGAATCCACCCAGGGGAGGATTTCAGGGGAAGGAGTGGGGAGCAGATGCCGGCCAGCCCGGGCCCCCCCGGCCCAGCCACTTCGCCTTGAGGATTCTTTTGCCAAACTTGTTGAACTCAGGGTGCCTGGTCTGCCGGGTCCCCCTTCGCCATATCCCAACATCCCCGAGTTCGTTTTTGCTCGTCGGCACCGTTCCACGATCCCGGAGAGGCAGAAATGCCAGCCTGGGGTCTGTGTCTCCTGTGCCTGCCCCAGCCCTCCTGCCCCTGGTTCTGTCCACACAGCCCTGCGTGTAACTGCATTCCGACCACTAATAAAGTGCCTATTGAACAGAGCGGGGCCTGGACTGTTTGTGAGGGAGTGGGAGGCTGGGAGGGGGAACCCCAGCTTCCACTGCTCTGGGATTCTGAGTCCGGGCGACTCCCCTAGGAGTCTGCTCCCCGCACCCCCGTCTGCGCCTGAATTCCAGCGCGCGGGCAGCTCAGATTTCTTTCGAACAATTGTCCATTATTAGGTTCTGATCCCCAGACTCCAGAAGGCGGTGATGGCCGCCCACCTCCTCGGTCACACGGCTGGACACGTGCCACCAGGCCTGCTTTGTCCCCGGGCCCAGGCACCTGAGCGCCACAGTCTAGTCCAGCCACTTGGGAGCCGCCCAGCTGCAGAGCAGGGCGCGGCCGCCCCGAGGCTCGCGGCTGCCCCCTGGTGCCGGCTGCCCGCCTTTGCATGCTAACTGCCCTCCTCCCTCCGCACCCCGCCCCGGAATTCTTTCTTAATTAGCCATTGCTGTTTTGAGTCTTTTCCATCCGCGTTCCAGGACGCTCATCATTCTGCCGAGGAGGAAATTAAGGCAGAGAGGTTGGGTGATGTGTCTGAATGTTGCCCAGAGGAAAAGGGGCAGAGAAGGCGCTGGAATCCAGGTCTCTGACCCTGAAGCCCTCATCCCACACCCTGTGCTGATGCCCTCTGGGTACCCCGCTCACCTCCACCCTCTGAGTTTGTTCTTTCCTTGCCACCCCGCCCCCCGCCCCACCTCCTGTTAGCCCCGCCTCCAACATAGCCGCTAAACCTGCCCACTTCTCCCCTGTCTTCAGCTCCCACTGTCACTCATCTGGACAGTGCAGTCTCTTTCCTTGGTCCCTGGCCCTCGCTATTCCCTCCCCTCCTCCACTGTTCCCCCGTTACCGCACGAAGATGGGGTCCTATCCGATGTGCATTAAAAAAGCCAACTATTACAGCATCAGCTTTATTGCTATATGGATCGGTAAGGAGCCGGGGGCACGTGCTGTCCGGTCTGTCTCCCCGATCCGAATTTGTGGGAGGAAGGGCAGGGCGGTCTGAAGCGTGGAGACAGATGATTGGAGGTGAGAGAGGTGAGGTGACTGAGGGTCTGCGCAAGCGTGGTCGAGCTCCGTGGCTCTTCGCAGGACGCATGTTCACAATATAGGTACATTAGTATGCTCTGAGGGGGGAGTTTCCAGCCCCTTGATGTCAAAAGGGTCACTTCTCCGGCATTTGTGCAGGCCCAGTTGATGGGTTGGTGGCCTCGACTGGCCTGAACTGGATGAGAGGTCGTTTCTCAGTTCCTGAAAAACCACTCTTAATTACACTGTTGATAAGATGGGGTCAGCTGAACGGGCCCAGGAAGGCCCTCGGTCATACCCCAAAGGCACAGATGGACGCCTGTGAACAGCTGAGTGTGTTCACACTCCTTCTCTGCTCAAGAACCCTCCATGGCTCCCACTTTACTCAGTAAAAGCCAAAGTCCTCACTGCAGCCCACAGGCCCTGGCCTATCCGCCCTGCCACCCGCCTCTCGCTGACTCACCCACCACGCCGGCCCCAGCGCTTATGCCTGAAATGCACTCCACCTGGCTCTTTGCGTGGCTAGCTCCTCATCATCCTCTGCTTTCCACTCAGGGGTCTCCTCCAGGAAGCCTTCCCTGCTCATCTAAAGTTGGCCTCTCTTGTTGATGACCGCATCACCCTGTTGATTTTCTTCATAGCACTTGTCAAACCTGTCATTATTTATTTGTATTTCACTTGCTCACTGTCAGCCTCCTCACCAGTGTGTCAGCTCACAGAGGAAGATCTTCCTCTTCTTTACCCCGTTACCCCAGGCAGGGCAGAGTGCCTGGTGCACAGCAGGCACCCAGGATACAGCCCAGCACAGCCAAATGAATATAAAGAGCTTGGCATGGTGCCTGGCCCTGGCAACGTGCACAGTATTAGTGACTATTATCAGGGGGGCCAGCCCTGTGGTCTAGTGGTTTCAAGTTTAGTGCACTCTGCTGGGCGGCCCGGGCTTGGTTCCTGGGCGTGGACCTACACCACTGGTGGGCATCCATGCTGTGGCAGTGACCCACATACAAAACAGAGGGAGACCGGCAACAGATGTTAGCTCAGGGTGAATCTTCCTCAGCCAAAAAAAAAAAAAAAGTAGTATTCACCAGCATTTAGGTTTCCAATCTTTTATGCATGCTCAGAGCCCTCTGGTTGCTGTGCACAAAGAAACTGTACGACACAAAAGCAGAAGCAGAGACCAATGAGGAGGCTACCGCACTGGTCCGGGTCCGTGCTGATGGTGGGCTGGACTCAGGTGGTCTTGGTGAAGGTGACGAAAGCATGCAGATTCTCGATATAATTTGAAGATGGAGCTGACCTGATGGATTGCATGTGTGAAGTGAAAGAAAGAGGCGCTGGGGAAGCAGGGCTGCGAGGGAGCAAGCTCAGGCGGAGTCCTGCCAGGGCCCATAGTCCATCCCGCAGGGAGCTCTGGAGGCTGTTCCATCTCCGAGTTGTCCGCACCCGTCAGTCGTTGCCTAAAGGCTGCCCTGGGGGAACGTAAGCTCCAAGGCCCTTCTGATGCTCTGAGTGGGCAGGCAAAGGGATGCTGGCACGTGGTCCAGAGCCCAGGGGAGGTTCTCTGAAAAGAGCTGCAGGTGCCGGCGCTTGTGCAAAAGCAGACAAAATGCTTGTAGAGATGCAAAGAAACAATAATGTGGATGGAAGGGATCCAGGCAGGTGGGTTTATTTTGCACCCACTTTATACAAAATCTCCAAAGGAAGCTGTGACATAGATGGTCAGATACGTGCGTCTGGACCTCAGGGGGGAAAGCCAGGCGGGAGGCAGGCAACGGAAGGGCTCAGTGCTCTGACGGCCTTAAGTCGAGGGACTGGCTGGGGTCGCCTGTGGGTGAGTGTCGAGAGAGGCGAGGTGAGGCCTGGGGAGGAGAGAGCCACAGGGGGTGCCTGGAGCTATGTGGAAGGCGCCACAGGTGCTGGTGGCTGCGGTGGTGGTGGCGGGAGGACACGGCTGGGAGTGACTATCTCCTTGTGAAATCAGGCGGCCAGCAGCTCAGAGCGGAGCATGCAGAGAGGGTGGAAGCTGTGAGAAGACAGAAAGCGTGGGAAACCAGCTCACCGCGTGGGAGAGCGCCCCACAAACAGGGACGCTGGGCTGCAGGAGGCGCGGGCAGAACTGGACGTGGCCGGGCTGATGGAGAGGCGTAGGGACTCAAGCAGTCCCCTGGGCAAGGGCACGATGCCGGAGCGATCCCCTCCCTCTGCTGCCCGAGGTCTCGCACAGCTTTCAACAGACTCAGGTGAAAGCCAGTCTCCACGTGGGTCCAGGGTCCCCGCAGGACCCATCCGCCCGTTCCCAGATGTCCCTTTCTCCCCTCTGCCCTCGCCAGCCCCATTCCAGCCCCTGGGGCCTCCTTGCTGCTCGTCCACAAGCACGGTCCCACCTGTGGGACTTTGCACCGGCTGTTTCCTCTGCCTGGAAGGCTCTTCTCCCAGCAGTCGGCTTGGCCTCAGTCCCTCAGCTCCCCGTGACTTTCCCGGGCGCCGCCTGGCTTAAAATCGCCTGCCCCAGCTCGGCAGCCCTGGTTTTCTTTTCGTCCACCACACTCGCCACCATGGGACACAGCACACACTCTGCTTGATTCTTGTCCGCCTCCCCAGGGCAGGGCCAGGGCATGGTGGTGTCGCTGTGTCCCCGGCAGCTGCTTCGGGCTGCCCAGCCTTCAAGGCCAGCTCCTCCCGGCCCTCCTGGAGGTCTGTTAGCAGCAGGCTGTCCTCAAATTCTTTTCTGCTTGCGTTGGCCAGCGTCCATATTCGTGGTCTGCTACTCTGAGAGCTACAGATCCAGAGAATGTGGAGGGAAGCCAGGCCAGGAGGGGCCCCGCTGCCCTTTTAGAAACGAGGGGTGCAGGCACAGGCGTGCTGGCCAGGTACAGGCCGCCAGAAAGCTCAGTGGCCCAGGCAACTAACAGACACAAAGAAGTTCATGCTGGATGCTTCCAATTCTGGAACATTCTAGAATAGGTAAAGTGAATCCTGGTGATGTAACAAGAGGGCCGGGAATTGGCTACAGAGAGCAGAGGGAACGTTCTGGGGTGGTGACAATGTTCCTTACCTTGACTGGGGTGGTGCTTGCACAGATGTAGACTCTGTAAGCATTTACCAAGCTATGCACTTAGGACTGCGGATGCTAGACCTCAAAGTGGATTAAGGGGAATGGGGGGAGCTCCCTTGTGGCTCACCTATCCATGAGGCCGGACTGCCTTGGGTACAGTGGGGGGCAGGTGTGGTGGCTGACACGTCCACTCACTCATTCACTCTTGATTTTCCCAGGCCTCTAAGCCAGGCACTTCGTGGCTAGATATACGGGAGTGAACAAGAACTGTGTTTCCCCATCTCAGACTTCACCAAGGGAGTAAGGGAGACATAACAAATAACTAAATATAGAGTAGGTAGTGATAAACACTTGGAAGAAATAGAACATGGTGGTTAGGGCAGGTGGGTCTCTCTGAGGAGGTGACACAGGGCAGAGAGCTGAGAGAGGTAGGGAGGGAGCTGTGAAGACTGAGGGAAGGGCGTTTCAGGCAGAGGGAACAGCCAGCACAAAGGCCCTGAGGTGAGGGCGCTTGAATGAATGAGTGGAGTAACGTGAAAGGACACATCGAGCTGTATACCCTGGGCTTACATCCTCCCAGCCCAGCGGCCCCAGCAGAAAGACCCAGCTCTTTCTCAGACGATCACAAGCAGTCCCAGAGCTGCCTCTCCTTGGGCCCGTTTTGTGAAACGCCATCGCTGAACCAGTCACTGGGCCGAGGGAGAAGTGGGGTTCTGATGGGTGAGGCCCAGGGCAGACGCTGGGAGGCAGGAATAAAGCGGGGGAGAGGCGGCTCCCCAAAAGCAAGTCTTGGTCCTCAGAACAAAGAGGGAGTGGAGGCCCAACAGGCAAAAGCTGCAGACACTGCTCCATGGGAAGAGCAAGAGCAGCAGGGATGTGAGGGTGGCACAAGGGTCCCGGCAGGCAGAGATGACCGACTCAAGGGGCCTGGGGTCCTACGCATGGCCCGAACGACAGCCTCAATGTTTGTGGCTATGTGCATGTTTCCCCCACAAGTCGCAACATCCTGGGGCTCAAATGATGTGGCTGTGCCTTGGTTTCACTTTTGCTCCATCTTTTTATTTTAGTTTTAAAAAGTGTCAAAAAATACACAAAATTTATCATTTTAACTATTTCTAAGTATACAGTCCAGTGGCATTTAGCACATTCACACTGCTGTGCAGCCATCCCCACCATCCGTCTCCAGAAGCTTCTCATCTTCCCAAACTGAAGCTCTGTCCCCATTAAAGACCCCTCCCCCAGCCCCTGACCCCCATGATTCCACTTTGTCTCTGTGAATGTGACTCCACTAGGGACCTCCTGTGAGTGGAATCATATATTATTTGTCCTTTTGTGACTGGCTTATTTCACTGAGCACAGTCTTCAAGGGTCATCCACATCATAGCATTTGGCAGAATTCCCTTCCTTTTTTAAGGCTGAATACTATTCCACTGTACATATACAGCACATTTCGTGTACCCGTTCATCCATCAGTGGACACTGGGCTGCTTCCACCTTTTGGCCATTGTGGGTAATGCTGCTATGAATATGGAGATACCAGTGTCTCAAGTTCCTGCTTTCATTTCTTTTTGGGCACACACCCAGAAGCAGAATTGCTGGGTCATATGGTAATTCTCTGCCTAGTCTTTCAAAGAACCACGACACTGTTCTCACTCCATCTTTTGGCTCAGGTTTCTTCCAGACTGCTTCATTCTCTATGACGTTTTTTCATCAGGGTACACCCTGTCTTCCGACCACACCTGCCTTGACGATCAGAGACATGAGGGCATCTCTTGCCCCAAAGGCCCAGGCCTGATGCTCACTTGCTCCGACTGCTTGATTTTGGTGACTAGTGTTGGCATCAGGCAGTGGGAACCTGCCAACTCAACTACAGAGAAGCAAGGGAGATGGGTGGTCCCCCAAAGCACTGTGGTCAACCAAATGCCACTCCACTGAGGGGGAGACAGCAGACACAGTCAGAAAGCTTTCAAGGGGAGGAGTTCTTGGATGTGATCAGGGGCGTCTGGGGAGGGGTGCTCTAGGGGGAGAAGTCTCTGCAGATGAGGAAGGCGAGGGCAGAGCAAGTCCCTGCGGACACTGACATCCCAGAGCATGGCGGAACCTGTTTGGACAGAGGGACTGCAAGAGGCGAGGACAGACCTCAGTCTTCACCCAGTGAGGGGGACTGTGGAATGAGGAGAAGAGGGGTACAGCCAGACGATGCGGGGTGTCAAGTCAGGCAAGGAGGTGCGAGTGCGGTTGTGCACACACGGAGCTGTTAACCAGGGAGCAGTGGAGAGGAAAGGTGGGAGGCTGGGCCAGAGCGGAGACGCAGGGAGAAAGCAGATGGCATGTGGGGTCTTCCATCTTGGATGGCGCCCCGAGAGAGAGCATGGACAAGGAAGGCAGAAGCTTGCAGCTGGAAACGTCTCCTCCAGCAGCTCCCGGGGGGTGGGGAAGGGGTGGGTGCACACAGAGGGCACCTCTAAGGGAGTTCTGGTTTCCTGACATTTCCACTGCAGCCCCACGGATGTCTCACTCTAAGCCAGGCTGGACGGGCACGAGGCCAACAAGCAACACGCATGTCCACAGCCGCTGCTCCAGCCCTCGCAACACGCCCGCCACACCGGCAACCGTTTGAGGTTGAAAAACTGTCCAAGTCCGTCCTGGGCTCCTCCAAGGAGGTCGTGGTTTGATCTGAAGTCTCATGCCTGTCATTACCATCCTATCTGTGCCTGCGAAACGGATGTGACAAGCGCTGCCTCAGAGGAGCGAGAGCCTCAAAACCAGGTTCTTCAGGAATGCACGCAAGGGCCCCTCCCAGGGACGGCCTGTGGACCTGGAGTCAGAAACGAGGGACTGTCCCTGTTCTGCCACTTGGCAGCGCTGTGGGCTTAGACAAGCTGCCCGGCCTCTGAGTCCGGCCCTCGTGTGTCAAACAGACACCGCTGGGCTCTAACTTAAATGTCAAAGCCAGTTATCATTCTCACAGTCACGGTGACCTTGAACCACCGAAACTTACTTTAGCCAATCTCGTCTAAACACACGCCCCCTTACTTTTACCAAACCCTTCTTCAATCTCAACCTCTACTCGTTTAAGACAGATCTGCAAGTAAGGGAAAAAACAGTAAGATGCAGAATGTCTTATTTACGTGAAAAAAGGCCATAAAAACACAATTTAGCATCTTTAGGCGTAAAACATCTCTGCAGCGAGACACAAAAACCTTGACGCTGGCTGCCAAGGAGGAGCGTAGACACGTAGACAAGGAGGGAGACTGACTTTGTCCTTTCACATCCTTTTGCACATCTGACATTTACATCATGGCAATACCTGATCGGCTCAAAATCCTAAGTAAAGCGTAAATGAAAAAGAAAATCGGGACGCACGGCATGCACTCATTCCTGGAACCACATTTTCACCTCTTACCTCCCGGATAATAGCTATCATTTGGGGGCATTTCTTCCGCCCAAAGAGTCGTGCCGAGCGCTCCTTTAAAAAGCTCATCACCGTTTTGCAGACACGGAAACAGGGCTCAGCATCCTGCATCCTTCACACGCGAGCGCACCGCCCCCGCGCCAGGCGGGGAAGCTCCGCGACAGGAAGAGCCGTGAGTCTCCAGGCCTTCCCACCCCTCGGGAGGCGGGACAGCCCCTTGCTCCCACCTGCAGCCTCGCCCCCGCGCACCGCCTGCCGAGCGGCCCGACCCCGACCCCGGGGGGAGGGAGACCGCACGCCGGGCATCCGACAGGCGCCGGGCCCGGGCCGTGAGCCCTCGACGCAGGTCTTTGTGTTGCCTGGGCCTCAGTTTCTCCATGTGGGTGAAGGGGGCCGGAGGATCCCGAGCAGCCCGGCTCTGCCATTCCGAGGCTCCGGCGCCGGCCCCGGGCGGCAGCGGGGAGCCCGGCCCGGCCGCTCCTCGCACGCGCCTCTCGGGTCCCCTCGGCTTCTCGCGGGAGATGCGGGCAGGAGGGAGAAAGCCCCGCGGGGCGGCCTCCGACAGAGGCCGAACTTCCGAGACCGAGATCCGGCCGCTCGGAAGCCGCTCACGCGCCCGCCTGTCAGAACCGTTTCCGCCAACGTCCTCATGGCGACGGGGGTAAGATGGCGCCCACGCAGGCGCACACCGTCGCAGCCGCACGGAGGCTCCGCCCCTCGCCCGGAGTCACGTGGTCACGGCCGCTCCGAAACCGCCATTGAAAAAAAGAGCGGCGGCGTGGTCACGTGATGCAGGCCTCCCAATACGGCAAAGGGAAGGCGCCAAGGACCTGGTCACGTGCCCAAGGCGGACTCAGAATCCGCCACCATCACATGATCCAGAGGAGCCCTCGGAAGGGGAGGGACGCGTTCCGACGCCACGTGACGGGACACGCAACGCCCACGCTCCTGTCACGTGACCAGAGCCCGCCTCCTTATCTCTCCGTCCCTCCCTCCCTCTCGGGCTGGGCCTGCGTCGAGCGGCAACGCGGCGGCGAGGGGGCGGGGCTCCGGCCGGTCACGTGCTCCCGCACCTCCCCGGCGCGCGCCCGCCCGCCCGCTCGCCCCCGGCCCCGGCTCCTCCTCCTCCTCTTCTCGCCATTGCAGTTGGGACTCGGCAGCCCGGTGCGCACCGCGTGGCTTTTAGGGGGGGAGACCCCGGCAGGCTGTGGCAGGAGGGCGGCGGCGGCGGCTGCGGTCGGGGAAGGGGACGCCGACAAGGTAAGCGTCAATGTGGCGGCGGCCCGGCCCGCTCCCGCCTCTCCCCCTCCCCCGCCCGGCCTCCCGCTCTGCGCGGGCCCGGCGGAGGGGTCGGGGTGGCCGGGCCGGAGGCGCCCCGCGCTCCCCGCCTCCGCCCGGGCCCCTCGCCCCGGCGCCCGGCTCCCTCCTCCCCCGCCAGCCTCGCTCCCGCGCTCGGCCGTTACTCTCCCCCATTGTGCCGAGGAAACAAAATGGCGGCGGCGGCGGCGGCGAGGCCCGGTGCGCGCGCATCCGCCCCCCCTCGCGGCCCCTCGCCGCCGGCGGCGCCTCGCGCGGGGGGTGCGCGCGCACCGGGCCCGCCGCCGCCTCCCGCGGGCCGCGCTTTGTCTGTTGCGGCGCCCGGCGCGCACGTGCCGGGAGCACACACCCCCTCGGGCCGGGAGCATCCTGGCCTGCGCGGCCGCGGCCACCCCCCTGCTCGCCCCCTCCTCTTTGTGCCCGGCCCTCCCCGGCTTCCAGGAGGGTCCCAGGTTCCCGAGGCGGGAAATGTCGCCTCCTTTGTCCTTACGTGGCGCGGGGAGGTGGACCCCCTCCCTGGAATCCCGTCTCTACGCGAACGGCACTGGAGGGCTTTGTGGCTTCACGGGGTTCCCGCATCTCTGGACCACCAGGCCTCCCCGCAGATCAGGATCCAAACTTGCGGGAGGGTTGAGGCTTGCTCTTTCTTTTAGTCCAGGTGGTTACAGACGTTGGATCTTCTTTCCAGATTGCTTAGGCTTTGCGTGCTCCCCCAAAACGGTGATGTGGTGCGATCTTGGGGTACACTGTGGTCTCCAAGGTTGAGATCCAGACATGAGCGCTGGAAACCCTATTCTAGCTGGTTTCATCAAGTGGTTGAGTAGCCGAGATTCTTGGGTTTGTTCTTGAGGTTCTGCCCTGCTCAATCCTCCGCCTGGATGAATTGTTTGGGGTGTACAGTGATCAACATGTCCTCCCCCAGCTTGGGGGAGAGTAAGCTGTCTCTCCAAAATTGAGTGACAGTGGCTTGCTGTTCTGCTTTAGGGGGCATGATGGATCAGCAAGAAAGCATCACTTTCCGTGATAAGCCTACATTTTCTGGACTCAGGTATTCTAGCGATGCTGAATCTGGTTTTCTGCTTGCTTAGGATTCTGCCGTCTTTCAAATAAGTGGTCTGGTGGCATATTTGGGGTCCATCGGAAAACGCCAGGTTCCGCCCGAAGTTAGGATTCAAATTTAGGACTTTTGAGTCTTCCTCAGGTATTTGTGGTTGGGAGTCTCCACGGATGGCTCACAGTGCTGCCACTATGCTTTGTGTGTGATGCTTTGTGTGTGGTCTCGTGGGACGCAGCTACAGTAGCCGCTCAGGCTGTGAATGAAGTGTGGGAACCAGAGGCTCATTCACAGCTGGAAAAGGGGCAAAAGGCGCCAGGGCCCAGGCAGGTGCTACTCTTCCGGTCCCTAGTCCTCAGGTCTTTGCCCCTGAGCTGTCTCTTGGCCATGTGGGCAGGTCCTGGTCTCGGATTTGTGAATGGAATCTGTGCAGGCCCTAGTATTGTCTGGAGCCTGGCAATTATTGCCAGGCTTGGCCTTGCCAGCACTGGATGCTCACTTATCAGTCTCTCTACCTTCCGGAGCTTGGGAGAGCTTGGGAATCACCCTCTTTCTGGAGCAGAGGTGCCTAATTGTTTGCAGTTTTTGTTTGTTTTGCCCTGATTGAACTTAGAGTATTGCCTATTGGCAAAAATTCCTTTAGTACTTAGAATTATTTTGGAGGCTCATCTTCCTAGGTGTCTGTTATTTTCTTAAAATCGTCCTGTGGAGATGCCACATTGGCCAGAGGCCGCTGCTACTTTGTTGTTGCTATCTGGTGCTCATTTTCCTGCTCCCCTGCTTCAGTCTTCCAGGTGGAGCCAGTGAGGAGGAAGGAGCCTTCTGCAGTCTATGGGCCTCTTCCCTTGGGGTCAACAGCGGGCACCATCTTGTCCGTCTGTGGACCTCAGCAAGAGGTGAGGGTGGAAGTGCGCTCGCTTCTGGATAGGTCTGGGGAGTTGGGCCTGGGACAGCGCCCTCTTAACTGCCGCCCCCATCCTGATTGCATTTGATGGCCCAGAGGACTTATTGTTTTCCCCAAGAAACTCGGGTTTGCACCTGTGTGGCCTTGCCCTCCTGCCGCGTTTCGTCAGTGAGTTGATGGACCTTGTTTAGTTTCAGAAGCTGTGTGAATGTCACCATCTGGTCTTGGCTTGTGTGTCGCCGAGTGGTGACCCTGATTTGCATCCTGCTTTGATTGCACCTTCAGGAGTGAGGATGCTCTGGGCTCTGTATGGTGGATCCTTTTTATCTTAGCGAAGTCCCGGGAGAGGAAGATTTGATTTCTGTTTCCAGCAGCCGGGCTGGGAATTAGAGACAAGTAGGAATCTGACCGCAGCTGACACACAGTTTGTTCGTGGAGGGGGCGTGGCCCTGAAGGGACAAGGCGGCTTCAGACACCTGCTGCAGCCAGTGACAGTTCTGTGTGGACGACTCGCTGCCTGAGGTTTATAACTTAGGGTGAGTCGGTGCTGCCTCTCCGTGGTGCTGGCAGCGTCACAGAGTGGGTAGTAGAAGCGCGGTGGCCAGGTGGCTGTCGGGGAGCCTTGTCAGCGCACTGACTTGCTGAATGGGTCCTTGCCATGCTGATGCTCTGTTAGATCCCTGAGAGATTCCTCCCGGGCAGCACCTTATAGGTGAGCCCATTATCAGTTGCAGTTGGAAATTCAGACAGACTGCTAACATCTGCTATTTTCTGACTATCTTGAGAAAGCAATGTCCAGTTGAAATTTAATTTGTTTTCTCTTCTCGTTGACTGTCCACATAATGAAGAAATTGAAAACATAGCCGCTAGCTTTAACAGGAAAGGGGGTTTACTATCCAAGGGCCGTCTTCTTGTGGGCCACATGTTGATCACCAAGGATCATTAGTTACGGAGTTGGATGTGCGTGCTTTTATTATCAGTGTCTGAATTTGTTACACATGATTTTGATAATGTTAGGTGATCTGTGAGAAGAAGTGCTATTGGCTCTTTGAGATCCAGGATAATTTTCCTTGAACGGTCCAGACAGCCTTGCTGCTTGCTTTTTTCATTAGGGTTGTGCTTCAAGCTCAAGGATAAGGTCTTACTGGGATCATCTTCCAGGCGCTTGCTTTTCTGCTGCTTGCCTCTGAGCTGCTTTCTTTCTCTTATCTGTCTGTGTGTGTGTGTCTGTTTAAAGAATGAAACGTTGCAAGTTAGGCTCGCTTCTTAGTAGTACGTTGAGATTTTTTACAGGTTAATAATCCTTGCTATGTATTCCTAATTAAAAAAAAAAAAAGCTTAAATGTCAGCAATATGGAAATAACCAGCCCAGCCCCATGGCTCACAGTGGCACTTAAATATTTGTCCTGTGGGTGACCTGTGCAAAATCCTTCCAGGAGAGCAGGCGGGCTGCCTTGTGAACAGGGAGGTCTGTGCGCTGCCCAGGGAGAGTTCACCAGTGACCACTACGCCACAGAGTCGGGGTGGGGCAGAGGGTGGAGAGAAGGGGGATTAGGTCAATTTCACTGAAGTGACTTGAGTGAGTTTTTTAAAATCTAACACTTCAACTCTGAAAAAACATTTTGGCAGTTTCTTAAACGAAACAGGCACGTGCCATATGACACAGTAGTTTCTCCATTGGGCATTTATCCCAAAGAAGTGATCGTCTGTGTTCACACGAAGACTTAGACACAGACATTCCGAGCAGCTTTATTTGTAAGAGCCGAGAACTGGAACCCACCCCGCTGTCCCTCTGCGGGCGAATGGTTAAACGTGCAATGGTATGCCCGCACGGTGAAATACTACTTAGCGAGAAAAAAGAACAAACCGTTGCTACACATCTTGGATGCATCTTGAGGCAGTTACGCTGCATGAAACAAGCCAATCCGGAAAGGTTACATGCTCGGTAATTCCGTTTATGTAACATTCTTGGAATGCCAACATTACAGCCATGGCGAATGGGTTGGCGATTGCTCGGGGTTAGGCCTGCTGGCTGCTGGGAAGGTGACTGGCTCTCCAAGGGCAGCAGGAGCGAGGGATCCTTGTGACAGCAGTGGTCTGTCTCCGGCTGCATCGACGTCAGCATTGTGCTTATGATATTGTTCTCTAGCTGGCAAGATGTTGCCATTGGGGAAACTGGCTAAAGAGTATATTGGATCTGTGATTTCCTACAGCTGTACACGGGGCTGCAGTTAATCTCAAAGCAAAAAGTTTCATTTAAAAAGGGATCCTTAGCCACTAAAAGAAATCATATATCTCTGTGTTCATAGTTAACAGCCTTTGAGGGACTGTCTCTTTTTTCCCCCCTTAACTACGGAGAAAACACTTTTGGGAGAAGTAAACAAATTAAATTGTACACTAAGTTAAAAAAAAAAATTGAAGGCTTCCTAGTGGGCTCCATGGGCGAGGTGCCTCTGCCCCTCACTGGGTGTGGGGGGTCCCCGTGCTTGCCCCTGCCCCGTCCGAGGCCTGAAGAGCATGCTGGGAGGAGGGTTTGGGGATTCCCGCCTGGAGTCGCGTTGGACCTTGTGCTGTGGTAGTGCGCCCTCACGGGCAGATTTTAAGGCACTTCTGTTGGTTCATCCCAGAGTAGCTGAGATTACCCTAAGACGTTGCGTTTGCAGTGTAGTACGCTTTCACAGTTAGAGCATTTTCCCACAGTCACCTT